ACCACACATGACTGAACGCTTTTTAAAAATGTTCGCGGGTTGACGTGTTTGACTGTCTGATGTAGGAAAGAAACTCGAAGCAGCATAATTTTGATCAATGAACCAGAAATGATAAACGAAAATGATTGCTTGTCTGTCACCGTTGACTTAGCTCATTCACTTCGTTATATGCGCTAGATGTTGCACATAAAAGGCCTGACTCACTGTATGATTGATGCAGTAAGGTCCAATATCACCAGCTGTGAGGAATTCTCATAGCTGTGGTGTCGGTTTGTTTCTTTCAATTTGATGATCTAGTGCTTATGTACTGCCTAGATTAAAAGCGGTAATGGTAGAAGGTCCTTCACAGTAAGTAAGCCAGACAGAAAGGCTACAATCCCTTAGATGATCTGTTCGGCATCACAAGGCGCTGGCCACAAACCGCATCACTTCCAAAAATTTTTCGCGATGATGTCCTCTATATTTAGCTAGCCTCAAAATTTTTGGGGAAAACTACTCAAAACGCTGAATCAACCCCTAAAAGTTAAATAAATTTTGGTCCTCATCCATAATTAAGAAACTTTTTTGTCACGAGACCACTTTAAGCTGTATTGATTCGCGGTTCTAGTTGTGGAACAATGGAGAATTCAAATCTCGTTATGTGGTTCACGCTCCATGCGACAAGGATCTCGTTGAACTGACCATCAAGATGATGACCGAACACAAGTACAAGGTTCCCAGGCTCATCGTCAACTGCTTCATTCGATACTATAGGTAAGGCAGTCTATTTATCGTTGCTGTTCATTCATACAGTACCTTTAGGCACAATAATAATGATCTGGATCTCCTATGCGATATCCTGTTCGTATTTATCGGTCGATATGTGACTGATTTTAGCTTCGTTCGAGAATTTCTCGAAAAAGAAGTGATTCCGGTATGCGGAACTAGTGGCGTTCAACTGGTCGGTCTGGCAATTATTTTTCGTTGTTTAGGCATATTCGATGGAATGGCGAAGAAAACTGTTTTCCTTCGTGTTGGAGAAGTTTGAAGCTGGTGGATCAACCGTAATCAAAGATCTCTTGTATGTAAAGATTCTACAGTATGTGCTGATTCCAAGTCTACAATGGGCTTTTGAGCGATACAATGTGGATGAGGTAACCTGAACAACTGGGCATGTTCAACTAGTAAAACCCCTCATTACAGATACTAGGTGTATTACAAAACCCCCAGGATCAGCCGGAAATGGATCCTGATGATTTGGTTTATCGACTGGCTCATGTAAGATTTGTGGGAAGTCTTGGGTTTCTTTTCATATTCTCATGTTTATAGTTGTTTAGATTATTGACCAAAGTCGGCAGGTCATGAGTGATGGCATTGTTATAGCTTTATATCAGCTCAGTACACTGCTCGTCAAGTATGCACCCCGTCATGTGCACAATAATGACTCGAAGTAAGTTTACTCACACCTTTTT